GTAAAAATATTTATTACCAGATCCAATTCCAATGAAATTGGGACATTGTGTTAAACATAAAGAACAACAGAATACAACGATATGCAAATCACATTCAACCTAGTTTTATTGAATAGACTGCAAGGAAAAGATATTGAGCGTTCAAAGTGATTCATTCACTTAATTGTTTTTAGCAATAATCATTGACCTTAAAATTTTACGCCAATCGCAGGGCACACACAGAGAAACAAGCATTTGCGCTGATGGTCACACCTGGGGACAATTTAGAGTGTTCTATTAACCTGCCATGCATATTTTTGGAACGTGGGAGAAAACCAGAGTACCCAGAGAAAACCCATGCAGGCACGGGGAGAACATGCAAACTCCACACAGGAAGGCAGGAGCCGGAATTGAACCCTGCACCTCTGCACTGTGAGACCGACACGCTAACCAGTCGACCACCATGCTGCCCCCTTGACATCATGTTTCTTGCAGATTGTCTTCAATTCACAACATTGACAGGACGAGATTTTTTTGTTCCCAAATCCCCCCCTTGAAAAACATAATTTAGAAACATAGGTGAACAAACAATTTACTGGCTTCTGATTCAAAAGTCGTTATTCATCAATCTGTTGTGTAAGAATGATAACGTCAGCCGATCATACATTTATATGGGTTCACAGTCATCACAGCCCTCTGAGGGAAATCATAGCTAGAGTGTGGCCTGCGACAAAATGAGTGTGACACCCCTGATGTACAGCTTCAGCTATTCAACAATCCGGGTTCTCTGTGGTTGTATTTTATGCTTCATAATGCGGCACACATAATCAATGGGAGATGGGTCTGGACGACAGACCAGGCCAGTCTTTTACCGTATTGGCCCGAATATAAGACAGCCCTGATTATAAGACGACCCCCTCTTTTTCAAGACTCAAGTTTGAAAAAAGACTTTTTGAACAGAAAATAATTACACTACATCTGAAAAAATGGATTCTGACAAGATATTTGAGAGAAAAAGCATGTTATTTTGCCTCATTCAAATCTTAATATCTGAACATTTAAATATGTAAACGAAAGTGCAATCACATTCGTAAATGAATGGCTTCTGGTTTTTGAAATGTAAATTACATCATAACTTCTCCTCAGCTGCCGGTTAACCTGGCCGATCTTCGACCCACTTTTCTTCAGATTGTCGCTACATTTCTCCATTTTCTGTTACCTCTTCCCTTATTTTCTTCTCTTTTCTTTCTTACCGCTATTTCTTATTTTTCTTCTTCGTGCTATCGCTATTTTTATTTTTATTCTTCGTGACAGGGGTTCACTTTGGCCTGTGGAGTCAAGTTCAGCATTCGCTTCAATGATATGGCGCCATCTAGCGTCGTGAATGGGTATAATGTCTAGACCGCGAATATAAGACGACCCCCACTTTTCTTATTTCCATGCAAAAAACACCGTCTTGTATTTGGGCCAATACGGTACTATGAGGCCACACTGTTGTAGTGTGCAGAATGTGGTTTGGCATTATCTTGCTGAAATAAGAAGCGGGGTCCATGAAAAAGATGTTGCCTGGGTGACTGCATACGTTTCTCCAAAACTGTATGTACCTTTCAGCATTAAAGGTGCTTTCACAGATGTGTAAGTTACCCATGCCATTGGCCCAAACGCAGCCCCAAAGCATAACCGATGCTGGCTTTTGAACTTTACATCCATGACAGTCCGGATGGTTCATTTCCTCTTTGGCCCAGAGGACACGACGTCCACAATTTCCAAAAACAATTTGAAATGAAGACCTCAGAACATTTTTTCACTTTGCATCAGTCTGTCTTAAATGAGCTCAGGCCCAGAGCTGGCAACATTCCTGGTTGTTGTTCATGAATGGCTTTTACTTTGCACAGTAGAGTTTTAAGTAACACTTAAGGATGTAGCGCCGAACCGAATTTACTGACATTGGTTTTGAGCCCATATGGTGATATCCTTGAAACATTGATGTCGAGTTTTGATGCAAGCCTGAGGGATCGAAAGTCATGAGCATTCAATGTTGTTTTTCGGCCTTGCCGCTGACATGTCGTGGTTTCTCCAGATTCTGTGAACCTTTTGATGAGATTGTAGATAATAGATGACAAAATCCCTACAGTGCTTGCAATTGGACGTTGACGAACACAGTTTGTAAACTGACTATTTTCGCACGCAGTTGTTGACAAAGCGGTGAATCTTGCCTCACCTTTGCTTGTGAATGACTTTTTGAACATAATCATGGCACCCACCTGTTCCCGGTTAGCCTCTTCACTCGCGGGACTTGTTCATGGCCAGGTCTTTTGTGTGCCTGAGGAGTTCATCCTGCATGCCCTGATGCCCTGATCTCTGGCCAGGTCACAGTACTCTCTGCTGGAGACCTTTGGTATTTTCTCTCCGGTAACTACTTCAGAGCCCGCCGCACGTTTTCTGGCTCCACCCCAACCTGTGCACTCTGGCTTTCGGTTTAGTCCGCCAAGGCGCACGTTGCGGCCCGCTGAGCCCCCTCTATGATGGACCATTCAGAGTCCTGCAACATGAGGGTTTCTTCATTGACTTTGATGGTAAGCCTGAGACGTCTGAATAGACAAGAGTTAAGGTGGCCCGTGTGGATGTTTCCAGGGGTTGGCTCGAGCACCACGCCGGGGTCAGACTCCCAACCTTGCTGCGCCGGCTTCTGCCAGGGTGTCCTTTGACTCCATCGACACCCTCCTTGGCAGGTGGACAACGGGCCTGTGTGCCCCTCGTACTCCCTGACTCCTTTGTTGTGCACCCGCCGTGGCCAGGTTGTCGTTTTGCATAGGCGTGAGGATTTTCACTATGGATGACTTCTGGGGGCACCTGTTGACATAAATCCCCAACGGAGCGAATTGTTCAGAGGTGTGTTCAGCAAACGGTGTTGTTTTTGTTTTTTGTATGCCGGGTTTAATTCCTGTATTTGCGAAGTGATGCTGTATTTGCGACACACCTCCTGTGTATCGTTTTCTTTGGCACCATAGTGCCATCATTTTTCTGGCCTGTTTCATTCTTTTCTTTTTTTTTTATTTTTTTTAACGATTCTGTTGAACCACAATTGAAAAGCAATGTTCATTGGTTAATTTTCATTGCTTTTAATTTCTTTTGTCAGATTATTTCTGTGACCACTTTTGGTTTTTCTTTCATTAACATTTAACATCGGGATACCAACAATTTAGTCTACGTTTTTGTGTATATCATCGTCTCTTTTGCTGTCAGACGCAACCACACAAACGAAGGCCGTGGCAATGACCACCCTGGGAAACCGTGACTGGACCTGACGATTACCGATTTGTCTAACTTAATTCTCATTTTATGCATATCTCACGCAAACGCCAAAAAACAGAGAAAAACAGCGGGGACTCAGCACTCGGCTCCTTTCGGCGGAACTTGTCTCCCCACCGGCCCTGCCCTCTTACATTTCACAAATTGATTCTTTACTCAGGCCTTGAATAGTTGTATCGCAATTTTTCAGCCAATTTTTCACACACAAAAAGAAAACATTGACAAAATCTCTTAAGTTAATGCTGTGTTTTTGACGTGTGACTGATGTTTTGCCAATGGGCTCCATCTTGTGGCCTGAGTTATGTCACCAACTTGCAACTGGATGGACGCAGCCTGGCGTCATCTAATTTGTGAAATGTTTCGGCTGACATGACATTACAATCAGCTCCAGTATGAATTCGAAACGTGACCTTTTTCTTGTTTATTTATAGCCCTGCAGACCATCTGTCTTGGTCACTTTTAGCATTTTCAACTGCTTTAATGCTTCTCATTTCTATAGTTTCAATGTACATCTCGTCATCAGTTATCACCGTCCTACTTCTGTTCCTCAACGTACATTTTCTTATTTTTGTGTTGCCTATTTTCTTGCAAAATGATTCCTTTTATCACATTTCCTGCACGCCTGGCCATAGGCTGGACACTTTCCTTGTTCATGTTTGTAGGCACATCGGTCACAGTCAATTTTGTTTTCTCTGGTCATTGGCTTTTCTCTTGTGAAGCTGCTTTTTTTTTTTTTTGCTAGCCTTTGCAGTGAATGTTTTGTGCACTCCACTTCATCATGCAAAGCTTTCGTCTGGGTGAACGTTATTTCACTGGCACGGCACATATCCAGTGCCTCATTTAATGTGAGATCAGCCTTTCTGAGCAGCCTAGCTTTCATTTGATCATCGCGTATACCACCGACAAATCTGTCACGTACCAGTGAGTCATTTAATTTCAAGAAAAAAATAAAGAACAATATTTAAATCTGATCGTTCATAAAATATTCCTATTTTTATATGACCGTTCAAATTCTCGTTCGGATTACACGGCAGAGTCCTCCATTAACGTTTTAAGAACAGCTTCAAACAAAAATAAAACACACAAGATCAGTCTTATGCTCATGGATGTATTTTAATAAAAATAATTCTGTTCAAACAGAATACAATATTTCTTTAACACATTTCCAGTACATATTTTTTCCAATTATACTTTTTACTTTTTTAATAGATTTTCAAAGTCATGCTAAGTAGACAGTAATTCTTTAAACTAAAATACAAAAAAAAAAAAAAGAAATAAAAGGAAATTCTTTATTACTGCTGTGCTAAAACATAAAAGAAATTAAAATCACAATAGGAGTCAGTTGTGCACTGCTTTTTTTGCAGAGGCTCAAGTCATTCTCGTTCGGATTACACGGCAGAGTCCTCCATTAACGTTTTAAGAACAGCTTCAAACAAAAATAAAACACACAAGATCAGTCTTATGCTCATGGATGTATTTTAATAAAAATAATTCTGTTCAAACAGAATACAATATTTCTTTAACACATTTCCAGTACATATTTTTTCCAATTATACTTTTTACTTTTTTAATAGATTTTCAAAGTCATGCTAAGTAGACAGTAATTCTTTAAACTAAAATACAAAAAAAAAAAAAGAAATAAAAGGAAATTCTTTATTACTGCTGTGCTAAAACATAAAAGAAATTAAAATCACAATAGGAGTCAGTTGTGCACTGCTTTTTTTGCAGAGGCTCAAGTCATTCTCTGTCAGGTCTTGGACCTTTCCAACAAATTTCTTGCGTCCTATGCATCATTAATCAGACCAGTGGTCATGTCTATGCAGGGATAAAGGGAGCTCTGGGTTCAAACATTAGCAATAGCTCAGTGTGCTCCCTACAGGGCTGAAGCAGGAGGTTTTGTTTGTGTAACAGGTGTCCTTTAACGCTGGAAATCAGATGCAGTTGTGGTTATTATCTTAGTTTCCTTTTATACTAGTTGGTCAAGAACATATTTAATCTTAAAAAAGTTTGATCAAATACTCAAATTGTATTTTGGGGGTCCACATTACGAAATAACTCCTGCAAATTCAGTATTTTCATTTGGAACTATGTTCTTTGTGGAGTGAATCCATATCCCATGTAAAAATGTCATGCTTGAATACAATGACCCAGTAAGATTTTTTTTCTTGCTGTTTGCCAGTTCCTGACAAGCATAAAGTTGAAATCCACTTTTATTTTGAAAGAACCGAAATATCCACCACTGTTGGAAAAACACCTCAAAAATTATTTTTAATTTGTAAACAACAACCTTGTTGTATTGCACTTGTGAGATTAGAAGTAATGTTTTCACGTTTTGTTTTTCAGGAGAGATGTTTATTTGATTCTGCATGTTTAATTGGAAGACAAGGGGAAACTAAAATTGCGCGCAGGGTGCAAGGGAATGCAGATTCTATATTTATGCCACAGTAAATATAGACTCTAATTATTTCAACCGCATCGCCCACTCAATTTGTTTTGTCAAGTGTGACTAAATGTGTGAAAATGACGCTGAAGCAGCAACACCTAAGTCAGGTTCCAGTTGAATGCAATATACGCACCCATGCCTGAAAAATATTGAATCACTTCTTAGTTACAACACTTTTTATTTCTTTATTATTTGGTGTGGATTCCATCAATTTGACAACATAAATTGATGCAAATATTTTCTCCTTGTCTTTTTTTTTTTTTTGCCTAAGGATGGTGATGATTAACACAATGGCCTCGGTAGTGTCAGCGACAATGTGACATTAAATCAATTTCTGCTCATGCTTTTGTTTTTTTTTCATTGAGGCATGTGATTAGTTTGGATGGAAGAGAGGGGAAAGAAAACAGAGCATAAATGTAAATGTTTCCAAACACACGGGTCCTTAGAAAACTTGCTAAGAAATAGAGACTGCTTAGATATACATTTAAACTTGGGTCAGAGGTGATTGCCTACTTATTTGCCCCATCCAGAAATAATGTCCCTCAGCTGGGTCTTTTCTACGTCAAACACACTGGGTGAGCGAACAACGTCAAAATGCTTTTGTTTTGCACTCCTGGCAAAGTAACAAGCGTTCTGCTTTGCATTGCATCGGTAAAAGGATATTTGTCCGAGTATATATTTCACGGCGACTTGTATTTTATTCAGTATGATGTAATAATGACCACCTATTGTCAGTGTCACCGCGGTGAGCAGTTGGACAGTGTGGCACAAGATATGGTGAAGTTCAAAATTGAAATCTGTAGAAAACCTATTGTTGGGGGTCAAAATCCACCAATGAAAAGCAAAAGAGAATGACTGTTTGTCGATGATCAGCACTACAATCTGACAAAAAAAAGAATAGATAAACAGAAATATAATTAATTCATATTTAAATAGTGTCACACGTTTTTTTTTTTTTTGGATAATACTAAATTAAAAAGTAAGCTTTCTTTTTGACTCTTCTCTCTGCTTTTTCTGTCACGGCCGCTGGCTCTGCCGCTGATAGTCAGCCAAACACACCAATCACACGCATGCTTTCTTCTCTGTAGCCATGACAACCCCCTGCTGGACATGCCCGCTCTCTCAGTGCAACTTAACATAAACCTGGAGAGAGACATACAGTATTTTATGTACAACAAATTACAATTATATATACGATCTGTATTTCTCAAACAATGCTCTCTCAGCATGGCAACAATCATATTCAGTACTTATACAATTATTGTATTGGACATACGGACATTATGTCTGTCCACAAAAACTGTTTTTTCAATACATGTACAAACTTAATTCCCATGAAGTCGGGATGTTGTGTTAAACAAATAAAAACAGAATACAATGATTTTCCTACAACATATTCAACATATATCTAATGGAATACAGAAAAAGACAAGATATATAACGGTCAAAATTTTGAGCAAATAATCATAAATACTGATCATTTGGGCTGGGAAATTATGTAAAAATGATACCAGAATGACTTGAGCTACATCATAGAATCTACATGTAACAACCACATTTTAAGATAATTTAATCGCAGAGTTTCTGAGAAGGACCATGATTCACCTGCATCGGAATTTAAGGACAGTACAGCAAAACAGGAAAAGAGAAATATTGCAGAATACTATTACAATAATTGCAAAACAATTCACTTAGGCTTGTGAATCTTTGACCACTGTTATGGAATTGGTGGAAGGAAATTGAGAGCTTGGGAAGGACGTTGAGAAGGACTAAAAAAGGACAAGCCTTGACGGTGTATAACAAGATGACAATTTTATTTTGTGATCACATCTTTTTTATTTTTATTTGTTTTGTTGTTATCAATTTGTATTTAATTTAAACTTTGTTTAGTCAGTGAAGAAAATCATGTTCTTGTTCTACACTACACAATTCTATTAAAGGTGAATGTGTGCTCAGTTTCAACATTAAGTGCTGTTTTTGATTAAGGAACGTATGTGTTGGGGCGGGGCCGCAGTAATTAAACTGCTATTATCTCAAATGCATCTGGTGCCCTTATAGGCAAATTGATAAACTGGAGACGATTAGCGATCAATTTTGAAGTCCCGTGTCGAATTAAAAGACGGGATGAGCCGTACTGGCTATCGTTACATGCTGTGCGCTGTTTCTACCGCTAGGTGTCAGTAATGCCTTGGGTATGGAGTTTCATGCAGCCATTGCAATTTGGTTTGGGGAAAAAAAACCCCAACAACCTGAAAATCGAGACGTACTGACTCGGGGGCTTCGTTTTGACACCTTGCTAAATTTAAGCATCCCTCCCTGACACGATGCCGTGTACCACAAAGGTTAAATAAAGGTTTTAGAGGGGTTAAGAGCCACTGAGGCGATAACATTTTTTTTTCCGAAGAGCTCGTGTAATGTGCTCAAAATTAAGATGCTGATTGGACAAAGAGGAGACTTGAGTTCCGCAATCATTGCTCATCCTAAATTCCCGGACGTTGGCCAAACGTATTTGCACATTGAAAATCTGAATTGTTCCTTGTAAAGCTGACTGTGAAAAGTCAAGCGAACTCGATCTGTGCTGAAAACGATTCAAATTTTTATTTGTAAAACTGAATGTGACAATATATTCAGAATTGAATTTCTAGTGAGGAATCCAAATTCAAATGACACAATTGTGTTTTTGAAAGTAAAAATTCCAATTTAAGCATTGCAAATTCAATTTAAGTAATTCTGATTTAGTTTTCATTGCACTTATTCAAGTTTAATGATTCAAATCCAAACATTGCCCTTCAACTGTTTTTGACTATTTTCTCACGCAGTGGTTCACAAAGAAGTGACCCTCACTCCTTTTTGCTTGTGAATGATTGAGCGATTCAGGGAAGCTCCTTTTATACCCGACCATGGCACCCATCTGTTCCCACTTAACGTGTTCACCAGGTATTTGAGCATTCCTCAACTTTCTCAGTCTTTTTTGCCACCTGTGTCAGCTTTTTTGGAACATGTTGCAGCCATAAAATTCTAACTTAATGCTCATTTGCTAAAAACAATACACTATCAGTTTGAATATTAAATATATTGTCTTTGTAATGTATTCAATTAAATATGGGTGAATATTATTTGCTAATATTTTATTGTTTTTATTTATGCTTAAGACAACATCCCAACTTCATTGGAATTGGGCTTCGTACTTGCAAGCAGAATAACCGCATTCACTTATATGTTCTCTGTCTACTCTTGTACATACTCACCCACACAAGGGCTAGAGCAAAAAGTTGTCTACTCTGGCGAAAGAACAGGAACCAGACCTGACTCGGGCCATAAGCTGTACACATTCTGTGGCCTGGCCCAGCGCTAACACCAAAGGAGGCTGTTTTGGCAGATTTTGGGACTCTAAGACGTGAGACACAAATCAGAATGAATATCATTCAAAATGCATCACTAATGAGTGTACAGTATGTGCATATCATCTAAAATGTTACTTTACGACATTTTTCATTGATGAACATGCTGGGCTCAACACTGATATACCGTGTAATGATAATACATCTAAGTGTGTGCTTTCTTTTCTACCCAGTATGGCGCTGTTGAGTGCGGAACAGAGCGACTCTCTCTGAGTGGGGTCTAACTGCTGGCCCACGGGGCAGTTCCACGGATCCGAGTACGCTAACAGGCTGAACGCATCCTGCACACACAGAGAAGCATCCTCAACAACCTTGGAAATGGCACACATTTCATCTTGCCACATGTAAAACACTGACAGCCTGAATCAGTCATAGAGGGGGTGAAAAAAAAAGGCTTACATAATTTCTCTGCATCGATCTTTTGGACACTTGGGGGCAGCAAACAAAAATGTGAACATTGCAAAGTAATCACTACAGTATATTATTTCCGAAATCCAAGTAACTGTACGATAATGACATTTTATTTACATTACTCATTTATTATAAGATAAGATAACCTTTATTTGTCCCACACTGGGGAAATATGTAACATAAAATTTCAGTAATTGCCTTTGTGAACAAATCACTCAAAAATATTGTGTAGGGTGCTACAAAGACAGATATGGTTCACAACTAATGGATTATGATTAGGGCACCATTTAAAAATGGAGTTCACCACTTTATGGTTTCTACAGCAAAATAATCAGTTTAAAATTTAAATTGATCATGGGAAATAATGTCTTATCCCCTCCCAAAAACAACGATGTGTTGAGAGTGAAAAACTGCAACAAACGCATCCTTCCAGGTAACACACTACAATGGTGCCTTGACTTGCGAGTGTGCCCAGCTCACAAGTTCTTTGAGTTATGAGTCCTCGCTTGGTTGATTTGTTTTGGGGGTTTTTTTGCTTCATATATTGGGAGTCAAAATTCGAGGTCCGAGCAAGGTTCAGATGAATCACTGCTCAAGTGAAGTGAAGAGATGAACGGAATTTCAAACAACTCATTTGCTGCCCAAATCATTTTAAGTGGGCTGGTAGTGAATTGATCGATTTGATGGTCAAGTAAACCGAGTTATTAGCTTTGTCATGCAACAAATTAAATTCTTAACTCAAGGTATGAGTGTAATCTACATCCTGTTGAGCAATTTGCATAATATAAAGTAAGAATAATGGGTTGTCTTGTCTTCACAGTTCCAAGAAGAGGTATACCTGTAACATCTTCTTGTGTGTTGTGTTCTTGCCGTACTCGCGGCACAGCTTTTCATTCAGTGCCTGAAGTTCACGTCCGAACTGTATCATCCTCTCCGTGGCTGCCTGGTTGCCTCCACACAGCTGTCTGCCATTCCGATAGCCCTCCTCTCCTGGCAACAGACACATATTGACTATTTAACATGTAAACCAAAAGGTAAGCAAGTTGCAATGAGCGCACAAAGTTGAATCATAAGAACAAAGAAAAAAATAAAGAAACAGAAGGAGAGTAGCTTGGCAATACTGTATTTCATTGCGCTCAATATCTGTGTCTGCGTACCTGTTACACCATTACCAATGCTGTTGTCATCTGGCTGAAGTATCTCTTCGTGTTTATATGTGCCATTCATGATACGAGTGGACGAGCCCTCGACAACCCCATTTGTGTAGTGTTCCGCTTCAATCTCCATCTCGCTATCACTATACACACATAAACAAAGACACGAGATTTTCACTTTACACAGAAAAGCTTCAAGGAAGGTAACCTTTAACATTGAATTAAGACATAGCTATTCATTATGACCAAAGACACAAATATCACACTAGATAGACTAATGCAGTGTTTTTCAAACCCTGTGCCACGGCACACCAGTGTGCGAGATATTGTCAGGTGTGCCGTGGGAAATGGTCGATCGCCTGGAAGAGTAATAATGTAGTACTCTTCCATCTGTGCTGTATGTTACACATACATGCAGCTCATTTGACAATAAAGTTGTATTCAATTCAATTCAATTCATACCGGTAGGGAGCAGCAGCAGCAGCTAGGAAACTGCCTTATGCTTCGAGACAAGCGAAGTTTCTGACTCGAGGCAATACAATGAAAGATATCTTTCATTTTGATTTACGTTTACTGGAGATGCAATGGCACCAATGTTCCCTCTAAGTTGCGCAACTGCGCACTAGTCGCACACTCTCAGCGCACAAGAAAACCTATCCAGCGCAGTGAAACGCATTGCAAATTAATTAGATATACAACTTTTTTTCAATTTGCCGGGTAATTCAGTGAGTGACAGGTGTCCAGCCAATCCCACGATACGATGCAATGACGCTATGCAGCCAATCATGACATTGACAGTACTTGCACATGTTCTCTGCTCCATAACAATAACAGTGCGGCGGAGATAAGTGACGCTAATGCTAATCCTTTATCATAGCGAAAGGACCGGGAAGTGAACGTGATACGTCGACTCCCCAAACCAAAATAAGAATGAACTGCGGTTCTTTTAAGTTGGAATGGCTGTCGTAGTATGTGCAAATAGAAGAACAAGCAGTCAAAGTGGGTGAGATATTTTCTGCTCTGCAAAACATGCAGCAAAGCTTAAGCTGGAAGCAGATTTTCCGATGGAAAAATACAGACTAAATGGAAGCTGGACTACCTCAAGCGACACATTCAGCAGAAAAGTTATTTGAATGATGTTGGAATTATACAAAGACTCAAGATGGGAAATGGGATTGGTACAATATTGCGGGAGAGCGCAAAAGACCGGGAGAAAAAGAACCGGCTGTCACAGAAAAAAATCTGACCCTGAGCAAGTTAAAGTTCCAATTGACTATATTTTACTTGCCATTAAAACGAATGCACCAAATATTGGATTGATGTTGATTTTATTCCTATTCAATGTGTTATAATATTGCGTTAATTGTCAATGTTAAAAAAAACGCTTAGAGTAACAAAACACTTAATTGTTAAAATAAGCCTTTTTTCACATTTTCAGAAAGTGGTGTGCCGGGGATTTTTTCAGTGAAAGAAATGTGCCTTGGCTCGAAAAAGATTGAAAAACACTGGACTAATGAACTGGAACACATGGATGGCAAAAGCCTGGCGTGGATTTCAGGTTGCTGCGATTGTAGCCAAGACTTCTTTTTGTGTTACTGTAAGTGTTGGGGTATTCAGAACTTTCAGTCTGTTTGGACACAACGTCACTAGCTTGCTTGCTACTAACTTGGTTACTCTTCTGTTGATTGCTTTGAGCTCTTCCGTAGCCCACATACATGTATGGTGGGAGATTGTAGAGGGGGGATGTCTATCCATCCATCCATCCCTCCATCCATTTTCCGATCCGCTTATCCTCACAAGGGTTGCGGGGGGCGCTGGAGCCTATCCCAGCTGCCTTTGGGCAGTAGGCTGGGGACACCCTGAACCGGTTGCCAGCCAATCGCAGGGCACGCAGAGACGAACAACCATCCACGCTCACACTCACACCTAGGGACAATTTAGAGTGTTCAATCAGCCTGCCATGCATGTCTTTGGAATGTGCGAGGAAACAGGAGTACCCGGAGAAAACCCACGCAGGCCCGGGGAGAACATGCAAACGCCACACAGGGAGGCCGTATCTGGAATTGAACCTGGTACCTACACTAGGAAAAAAATCCTTTGAATGTACTTAATTTGAACAGGGACATCACTTGCACAAGATTAAAACGCATTAAAATACCATATGTTAAGCTATTAACATTATAATATACATACATGGCAATGGCGAGTGATGAAAAAAGCGGAAGGGGCGTGGCCTGGACGGGGGCGTGGCCTGGACGGGGGCGTGGTTACTTACAAAAGTGGCACGAAACATGCTGAAGATGAAGTGGATTAAATTTACACAGTTTGAAAATTGAACAGAAAAAAATCCCAAGATCGCCACTATTCTTTCAAGTGAAAATTTGTGCAATTTTGCCTATGCATTCCTGGTGAGCACCAATATGTAACTCCAAATTTGCTGCTCAAAATCAAAAC